ATAATAAATACCTTATGTGTGTGTCGAAATGATGTATTATAGATTAGGCAATGCGAATGGAATCGAAATTGATCGTCTCTCTAAGAAGCTAAGATATAAAGTACGACATATAAAGACAAGAAGGTTGAAATGGAAAACTAGAAAGGGAAGGGGGAAAAAAATAATAAGAAGGAAAGAATAAAGTGGAAGGGAGAGAAAGTAGGGAGAGAAGAGAAGGATAGGGAAGGGAAAGCAATCAAGAGGGAGAAAGAGACTGGATGATCTGTGAATAAGTATCGGGTAAAGATTCGGTATCGTTTTGTCTATTAAGGCCTTGTTTCTGTCTTTTAATATGAATCATTTTAGACACCAATCTCTTATTGTAAGAAGATTCGCAGTCCAAAATTCTCACATCATTCCATTTGAAATTATGATCAAAATTGATTCGATGATCAGTTATGACAGTAGGAGAACCTGTATTCTTTTTGATGTCAGAGATACGTTCGTGTAGTCTCGTGCTCAATTTTCTCTTTGTCTGACCAACACTCGCCTCGGCAACATAACTTCGGCTATCTCTGATTAGAGAAATTGAAATTTAATTTTTCGATTTCTCGATCAGAACTTGACTGAGGTATCGATATCTCGAAATCGATTCAGTCGATTTCAGCGCGTTTGCCACATACCACTATTGCTAACAATGGCAGATTGATAGCAGGTAGCAATTGCAAACACCTGATGTGTCAAGCATCATCGTGATGAATTCAAAATAATCGTGATGACGGTGAAGGAGAGATTGGAGGCGTATAGACGCAAGAAGCGCAGACAGGAAATGATGGAATCGATCAAGAACATAATGAGAAATATATTTTCATGGAATCGTGAAATCAGAATCGAGAAATTTGAAGAATCGATGAAGGAGGAGCAGGTGAGGTTATATTTTGCGGTTGACATTTATGAGGGAAAAAAATAAAGAAAGTTGCGGGAAGGTTTAAAAGATGTTTAGATGAAGAAGGAATATAAATTTCGTCCTTTGTTTCTAGGTTAAACTGTGCAAACAGTCTGTGGATGTCGAAGAGGATGTCCAGGAGGTCGACGTTCAAGAGGAGGACAACACGCAGGAATCGCAAAGTACAGTGTTAAAACGAGTAATCTATTTATTATACTTTCTGTTATGGGCCACGTTATATATGATTGCATTGGAGTACGAGTTTGGTGCTGTCTACTTCATACTGTCAGCTCTGATCTTTATCTGCTTGAACACCAGATCTGGGCCGAAACGACGCGGCGAACCCAGCGCTTATTCTGTCTTCAATCCGAATTGTGAGGCGATAGAGGGTACTCTCGATGCATCACAGTTTGAAAAAGAAATAAGATATGGTATAGGAGGGATACGATGAAATTGACATAAATCAGGAAAGTCTGAATACAGATTTGATGTTGTTCGCATCCCGATCTATTTTACGTCATGATTGGATTATTTAATGTGGAAATGAATATGTAACATTTTCATTGTCAGATAAATAGCTTTACGATTTAAAGCTAAAGTAATGTTACATGAGCATAAATGTATATGAATTACATTTAACTCTTCTAAATTAGTATATTATATATATTTAAAAGCTAAATTTTATTTAATTTAATATTTAATTTGAAGAGAATCTAATATTTTTTACATATGGGATACAAATTACGAATATATATATATTATACGAAATATATATATTACGAATATATATATAAATTCCACAAAGTTTTATAGTAGTTCCAAAAAAGTATAAAATGTGATAGCGAAAGCATATGTTAGCTATACGTATAAAAATAAGTATTATGTTATATGTTACTTTTGTAAATTTTTACAGAGAGATAGAAATATATATTTTATTTACATTCAACTGTAAAATTGTAATTGTCCTTAGCTGAACAATAATGAAATAAGATAAAGCAAAGGAAATGCCAAAACGATTTTCATGTACTATTTATAAAAATGAGCTATAGACTCTTTATACTCACTAATTCTCGTTTTGTCATTTATGTTGCTTTGCGTAGAAAACAATTGAGACTGAGCAATTCATGAAAAATGTATATTGTCACATCAAGAAGCAGATGTCTTGCAATCTATAATATGTATTTTCTGAAATCTTTCTTCTCGAGAGAGAAGGTTCTCTTTTTTGTCCTATCTCTCTTGCAGAATTTCTATAGCGTCCTCATAACATTTCGTCATCTGGTCGAGATAAGCTAATATGGTAGATTCACTAATAGAATCGTGCGACAATTTCCGAAACGGCACTAGATCAGTTCTGGAATGCGAATCGATTTTATCAGGACACAGAAGCGCCTTATCCAGGTCCAGAAGCAGATCATTCCATATCCTCATATGCAGCATCCTAAAATATTTCGTCGTATTAAAATATAATCATATTATCTTGGTAAGTTATATGAGACAATTTTCTCAATAATTTTAATTTTAGTAATTTCTGTGATATCCGCGTCATTGGTTTCATACAGATATTATTAAGTTTGTTAATTAATTGATCATTAATTAATTCTGAGTTTACTATACTTACTGGATATCATCTGTCATGTTGATTTCTGCATTAAGCTCTTCCACGGCTGTGAGCAATATTCTTAATGTTTTCTTCAGTTTCTCTGAAGGTGTAATGTAGAAAAACAATGATTAATTCAGACTTTAACACTCCTGTTGGAAATTAATGAAATTAAAGGAAATAAAAAATACCCTTTGCGTTTTGAAATCTGCTAGTGTTAATAGACGCCAATATTTCATTAACGGTTTCGTTAAAATATTTAGGTTTCCATTGAGTAACTGTACATTCGGACAGTCGCCATATAGTTTGGCCAACCATCTGAGCCAGAGTTATGTCGTGTAGTTGGGAATTTTGATTGTGATGATTGTTCGCAGGGCTGTTATCATTCTGCATAAAAAAAAGAGATAAAAGCATAGAAATTTTTTCTTAATATTATTAATCAAATAGACATTTCATAAAATATTTACAAGTCTTAAGCAGATACTTTAATAATAAAATTGTTCAAATCTTAATTTAGAATCTAAAATATAGCAATACATGTTATTAAATTAAAAATAAATGCAACATGAATTGATGGAATTCTGAAAGAGCTTTGCATGAAATGAGGCTACTTACGAACGAAAATATCACTTGCGGAATATCTAGAGAAAGGCGGGGACCGAATACTTCGTGTTCGAGATATGTCCAGTTATTATCGCCGGGTATTGTCCTGATTGCTTCGACAGCTATGGATCGCATAATATCTGATCCGAATAAAACTGCGTGATTGTTAGCTGAAATCAGATAATTCTTTATATTTGTGTTTCCTATATAATGTTCATAACACGGAAGTAATAAAAATTCGAGTAAACCTCGCATAAAACGACCGTGCACCGTCACGTAAGCTACAGCTCTTCGCCATATAAATGTAGGCAGAGCTTGTGGGCAAATATCCGAAGATGTAAAAGACATGCAAAAGATTAAACTTCGTCGTGGTCGCCAATTGTGCCCTGAACATATTTTGTCTAGAACTTGCGCCAATTCCAGAGCTAATGTTATACCGTCTTCATTAACGGATAAGATAACATATCTATCTGAAACAATTCAGTAGAATAAATGAAAGTCCTATGCGATAGAAGACGAGAGAAGAGATAAAAGATTGTTTTTTTTTAAGTAAATATATGCAATGATAAAATTAGAAGATAGTGTCTCGGGTATCAAGTAACTTCCGAGGCCGGCCTATTCGAAACATGATTACCCTTTGAGGATGGGAATTTTCTAACAAAGAAAAATTTAAAGAAGAATTTATTTTTTAAAGATTTTCAAAGTCATTGAATTTCATTCTAGCTTCAGAATTCTAAAATTTCCATTTCAAAATAAAAACAATAATCTGATTATATCTTAGTTGAAACTTAGTAAAACTTAATTTTAAAAAGTTCTTGGACGCTGCGTTTAAATGTAGCCTGAAAATGTTGAAAAGGTGATGATCTGCAATGAAGGAGTTTACAGGATTCATAATATAATTAGTTTGGAGGTCCATTTGGAAATGGACCAATACTTAACTTTGTGCAGTATTGATGGGCTTAAAATAAAGCGAAAATATTATCAAATTATTCCATATTATAGGTCAAGTTTCATAAAAATAGAAAGATTAATTTACAAAATAAAAGGAGGTAAATGATTCTTAAGTAGGATCACTCGTTTATAAAAAGATTAAAGATTATTTCATGTGACTGTTTATGAATTGCATGTAAATGTAATTGAAAATGTAATTGCAAAATGATTTGCGAATATATTAAATGGAATAAAAAGTTATTTTGAAACTGTTTAAAAATCGATAGTAAACTCTTCATTTTTTATCCAAATAAATATAACTAAAACATTAAGGACTCACCTGGTTCTCGTGAACCGCGGACAGTCGCATGAATGCATGGTGCATGGTTGTACACTTTATGAATGAGTGACAAGTTGGAAAAGAGCCCACTTATGCGTCGCATATCTTCATCTGACGTCTGTCTATTTCTAATTGAAAATAACGAACATTTATTAATAAAGAATTTAATTCGATAATTTTCTCATGGAATTTTTTCATAAAGATTAATCTACCATATGGTATTATATTCTGATATATTGTCGTATATAAATGAGAATATATTCAGATATATTGTCATATATAATAATAAAAATGATAAGATATTAAGACACCATACGTCGTGCGATCATAGTCGAGTGACGCTCTTTCCAATTCCTGGAGCAGTATTTCCTGAAGATACTCTGTGTTTTGGAGACCATTTCCGGCTAATTCACTTCGCATCTTTTGTGCCTGGGCCTCCAACGATCTCTCAACGGTGAAGCGGCCCAGCAGAAAACCGCATAGGAGACATAGGAAACCAACCGAGAAGAGAAACGAGAAACACAATCGTTTCGTCACGTATTCACTGGACTCGCCAATATTGCGAGTCATTTGAAGACTAAGGACTCGCTGCATCCTCGCGGGGTGTTCTTTGTAGAAATCTGTTCAAAAGTATTACTGACAGATTCCTCCTATCATCCTTTATCGTGTTGTACGTATTTGTCAGATTAAATTCTTCTTTTTGTATAGCCACATATTGGACAGCTTTAAAATATGAAAGCTCGACCTAGATTTTTCTTATACAAACCCAACGAATTCACATTCGTGCATTTCTAGATTAAATGTGTGCACGAAACATAAATCACAATTACGCAAACTTTATTTTAAATCCTAAATTTATTAAATCAACAAAAACTCTTGTAATATACAAGATATTTCTCCGTATACTATTTTCGTGAAAGTTTCAATCATATGGCGAATCGCGAAAACAATCCACTTCTGCTAATTAAATCTGTTAATTAAATCACCAATATAGTAATCACATTATCTGGATAACAAGATTATTAAATTGACGATAAATCTTTGTAGATTTCGTGCGATACGTCCACTTGGACCACACTTTGTCACCATGTAGGAAAATCTCACGGCGAGTTTTGATCGTGAAGACGATAGAGCTGACCGTTTTCCGCTGTCTTCGCCGTCGCCAAATTGCGTGGGACCCCACAGATATATTTTACAGTCCGCCTCTTTGACGTCTCGTTTATTTTATTCTTGCGTGAAGAGCGTGCGCGCTGTTCTCATCTCCGTTCTTTTGTGTGGAGGAAAATAAGGAAGTGAAAGGGAAAAGAGGAAAAAAAAAAACAATATAACAGAGTTCATTTTCTAATCGAGTCCGGCTTTTGCTTAATGAGAATTTTAGAAATTTATCCAATTTATTATTCACCATTTAGGTAAAAATATTCTACAGTTAAAATGTTAATTTTTTTTTTAAATATTGCGGCGAGAAATTTTTAATGCAAGGTAACCTGAAACAGGATTATCAAAGAAAAAGGCTGATTATAATTATCAATATCTTTAAATTGAAGAAATCATTTAGGATGACAAGATCGTTTGTTAAGATTATAAATCTATTTGAAAAATATGACATTAAAACACGTTTCTTTCTGGACACTGTGTACGCAAACATCATCAGAAGTGTGGACGTCGCATGTTGGGTAACTTATTTCGAGCAATAATACGATGGCGGTGTTTCATTTATAAATAGTTTTCGATGTATTACGTACGCGTGCAAGGTTGTTCCAACTATAACGTTTTCTATGCGAACTTTCGAAATTATATATACAAATTTTTCACACGTGTTAGTGATGATGTTACAGTCGATTTTATTGAAAGTTCATTATTTGTTAAATCTTGACTGAATTAACACTTAAAAAATTACGGGAAACAATGAAGTTCATTCGGACAATGATAAATTCGAAAGTATAAATTGAAGCAGATATCATTAAATATTAGTTATGCATAAAATTAATCTTTAATATGCACCATGGTTTTTCACACCTTTATTACACACGATGAGTCTTTCGCGTGCTGGATTCTTATAAATTTTGTAAGTATTTATATATAAAAAGAAATAGGACACAAATATTAATAAAGATAAGAAGACGCTAATGTGTTTTGGAAAGTATTTAAAATTTATTTGTTTTTAAAAAGAATTAATTTCAAATCTTTCGACTTTGATCAATCTTTTATTTACAAATTTTTACGAATATATGAAAATGGATTTTTCTTTAAATTTATCATATTAGAACCTAATGCTAAGATCTAATAGAATCGAGAATAAAAATAAACGTTATATTTTTTTAAACTATTGTGAGTTAGGCTATTAAGTTATGCCAAGTCATTATGAATTAAGACAATTCAATATCTATAAAACATATTATATTTAAAAAATACTGTTAAAAATGTTATATGAAATTAAATGTACTTTTAAATTAAATTAAATTCAATTTTATGACGCTAAATGAAATTTAATGTATCTGCAACTGAAAAGTATTTGTGTACATGTACACAAAATTTAGTTTTACTTTTTCATAAAATTTTACAACGTTTACAGTACATTTTTTATTAAATTTTAGATTTGCATGAAATTTAACATAAGTAAACATTAAATTTAAGTTATTTATAACTTCATTTTCATTGACAACATTAAATATTTTTAATGTACACTATTAGAAATGTAACCATGAGCTTCCTTTACATATAAAAGAAGTTCGTGATTATGAATAAAATTAAAAATAATGAATGTTTTAACTGAAAATTAAGTTACAGTAATTACTTGAATGTAATGAACATGTACATGTCATTTTATGAAATTTTATGTATATGTACACAAATATACTTTTTAGTTATAAATATATTAAATTTAATGTAATGCCATGAAATTAAATTCAAATTGTGTAACTTAAAATTTAATGAAATTTAAGAGTATTTCTAATAATGTATCTGCTTGAAATTTGCTTACGTAACGGAAGCAAATTTTTGTTTTTTTAACAGTATATCTTACAATATTTTCTTCCTGAATAAAAAGTCATTATCGATGTATCCATAAATTTCTGAATGTAATTACACATAGGCAAAAATTAATGAAAGCGTCTGTCGTGCATCTTCTAATTTATTCTGATCTTCTAAAACGTTGGAAAAACATTCGTTGGAATGGTACATTCTGATGTAATGCAATACGATGTTCCCTCAAACTCTGTGAAGTAACAAACGTATCGTCACATATCTTGCACTCGAACGGTTCTGCAAACATTTATACAAAAATTGCAAATTCTTTATACGATTCTTTTCGATACATAAGAATTATTTGCACGGACAAAGATATCTGTTCTTACCATGCGTTTTCCAGTGCAGAAATAAATTTGATTGCTCGGTATACGCTTTATAGCAATAAGCACAAAAGGCCACGTCCTTGTGAAATATAGAAGTATGCTGTTGGAACATTAACCAAGTCCTGCTGATTGAATTGCAATAATCACATATGTAAGATGTTTCGTCATGGACTTTTTGCATGTGTTCATCCAAACATATCTTTGTTTTAAAGTGAACGTTACATTTGTAGCAGATGATCCGATATGGAATAAAATACGGACGATTATCTTTGCTTTCTCTTTTCTTTGATAAGATGGCACCCATGATGATGGCGATGATTCAATTCCTTTTGAAAAAATTGTTGTTAACAAGTAGTTTTATAATTTTCGGTATTTTGTTTCTCGCACTTTTTTACAGGTTGTATCGAAATCGTACTAATTCATATGTAAAATCTCAGGTAATTTGAATTTTGCAGATTCAAAAAATCGATAAGAACAATATCACAGCACGTACTTAGTATGAGGAATTCTGTTGTATTAGACCGATATTTGACCGAATGTATACGAGTTTTGTCTGAATCTCATCTAAACATTTAATAATAAACAACAAATCCTGTTTATATGTATCCAAACTTTGTATTGCTTCTTCAGATGCTATTGTTAGATAAACCTATAGTAAATTTGTAATCACTGATTGTGAGTGATGTAAGTATGATTGCAGAAATGTGCAAATATCGAAGTATCAAAACAATTTATTTAAGCTATATACACAATTGTTTTTTGTTTAAGCTATATACACAAATAAATATCTTAGTTGGTTAAAGATTATCAAAATTAAGCACATTTTTAATATTTAATTAGGAGATAAAAATATTGTAAAAAATATTTAATCTATTTATTTTTAAGAAAAATTAATCTCTGATTTTTTTCTCTGCAGTCAATTCTTATTTAAAAACTTTTATATTTATATACATATTTATATAATGTACATGTCTATTTTTAATTTAATATAATAATCTAGTAGTAATTTAAAATATAAAAATTTGTATCTTATTTGAAGAATCACATTATTCATTTAATCTGCTAAATTGAAATATAATAATTAATAATTGTATTATATGTACATTTCAATATCTACGTATTTTTTATTATAAGCTTTTTCGTATTCATCAATATTAATTTCAAAAAGTTTCTACTGATATATTGAAGGTTTGTTACTATTTTCTTTTTGAACTGCAAAAAGTGCATTCCATTTTTGCTCAATACTCGCGAGTATCATTTGTCCCTCTTTAATATTTATATATAAACAACAAGGATAAAATGATGCCACAAGCATTGTAAGCGTTAATTGGAAAACTGCTAAAGTACCGCCCTATATATATATATACAGTTCAAAGAGACAGATACTTCCCTTCGTACATATGAGTCATAGCCAGCAAAGTGAGGACGTTAAAATTATTTTACCCGTTCAATTTTCTAAGCCCAGATCCAAGCGTGTCGTATTTACGATTCTAGATATCTTACTTTGTCTACTATATATATCGCCTCCTATAAAGAGGGGTAAATCTCTCGTTGAGTTATTTAAGAGATTATTTAAATAAAACAATGATTTTTTAATATTTTATTAAAAAGTAAACATATAGTATATTGTAAAAAATTTTTTTAACACATTGGTTCTTGGCAAAAGTAAGCTATAGACTTTCGTTTTTTAGTCATTTTTCACTTACAAAATTTTTTACATATACATATATATATATATATAGGAATGTTTTTTATTTTACATGTAATATACTTATCTTTTTTTCTTTCACGCACACACACTCTCTCTGTCTCCCTCTCTTTATTATGATCTACTTAATACTTGATTATATGGGAAAAAATACGGAAAAATACGGAAAAAGATCTATTTTAAAATATCACACGTCATATATATATATATATAGGAATGTTTTTTATTTTACATGTAATATACTTATCTTTTTTTCTTTCACGCACACACACTCTCTCTGTCTCCCTCTCTTTATTATGATCTACTTAATACTTGATTATATGGGAAAAAATACGGAAAAATACGGAAAAAGATCTATTTTAAAATATCACACGTCATATATATATATATATATATATGACGTGTGATATTTTAAAATAGATCTTTTTCCGTATTTTTCCGTATTTTTTCCCATATAATCAAGTATTAAGTAGATCATAATAAAGAGAGGGAGACAGAGAGAGTGTGTGTGCGTGAAAGAAAAAAAGATAAGTATATTACATGTAAAATAAAAAACATTCCTATATATATATATATATATATATATATATACACATATATATTTTATATATTATATATGTACGGATATCATATGTTATAATTTTATTTTATTTTTTACCAATTAATCAATACTCATAATTGCTCATTTATAATTATTTTAATAATTACAAGTACTAATTATTCATATAATTGACTATTATAGAAAATTACTATTACAAGTTATTCAAATTTAAAACAGAATATTTAATTAAAAACAAGATTTTATATTAAAAAATTCTATTTTAGGTTTACATTTTAGGTGTAATTTTATTTTATATTTTTCCATTTAGAATTATCCTTTCAATTGTAACATTAATAACGAACTACCCTGTCTGTATCTTAAATACATTTGTATAAGTACTTAGACATTATCATAGACCTTTTGAACAACTTAAAGTGTTTAATATCAGGAACATTTATATTAACTAAATTTTGTTTATTTCCGACCCTAACTTATTCGATGACACTAATCAGACTCGATACGATTTTCACACAAGTCTCGAAGTTCACTTTGCGAGTACCCGCACGTCCCTAACTTTAAGCGTTCATGACTTTTGAGATAACGTTTCTGACCGAAACTGATACCGCATTTCTGACACGTATACGGTTTCTCTTCGGAGTGGACGCGTTTGTGTCTGGTTAGATCGTTCTTTACGCCAAAACCCTTACCGCATACGTCGCACGTATGATTCTTCTCACCTGTGTGTACTGTCAAATGACCCAGCATTTGTTGTCTCCAACGGAACTTTTTCGCGCAATAAGTACACTTGTGCGGGAACTCGTCTGTATGGATCTTACTGTGTATATAGAGGGATGCTTTGGTCTTGAACGTCTTGCCACACGTGTGGCACACATACGGGCGTTCACCAGTATGGATACGTCGGTGGTCCTCCATGGCAGTCTTCATGGCAAAGCTACGACCACATATATCACAGGTGTGATTCTTCACGCCGTCATGCACGTGTTTCAGATGATAATATAGACTACCACCCTGAACAAATTGCTTCCCACAGATGTGGCACGTATACGATTTCTCACCCGAGTGTGTGCGTACGTGAGCCCAGTGATTTTTGCGCGAACGGAACTTCTTGTTACAAAATTTGCAAACTATCGACGGACTGGTGCACACAACTTTTTTGGATTTGGATTGTTTGACGTTTTTCTCTAGATATTCATTGGACTCGTTTACTTCCGCTATAAGATTCTGTCGCGTAGCCTCGTTTGATGTTGTCTCTTTCGCGTAATTTGTTCGCATCTGACTAGTAGAATTAGAACCTTCATCTTCCATACTCTTCTTCTTATTGTCATTTGTCAAGTTATCTGAGGAGGACATTGTAGATAATGTATTTGTGGAAGACGAACATTTGGTTAATATATCGTTATCGATATTATCTGCAGGAGAAAAAATATTTTCTGAATTTTCATCGATTACATTGGATGTTTTAGTTTGGATTGGATTGATTTTATTTCTCTGTTCTCCCTTCTTATACACTCGTTGGCAATAATTGTGGGCGATTTTTCGATCGTGTGTGATGACTTCATTTTTTAATCTGTAAAAATAAAAAAGTAACCATTTTTGTTAACAAGCATATATTTTTATCATATCATTATTTTATATATAGTATGTGTGTGTGTGTGTGTGTGTGTGTGTGTGAGATTAAAGTATTTAAGTTATTTAAACAAATAATATTTAATAAATATTCTTTTAGTTAATTTCATATATATTTATATTACAAAATCATAAAGTTCGTGAAAAAAAAAATTTATTTGTAGACAATGTGCATTGAAATTAAAAATTTTCGATTTTTTTAAAATTTAACACGATATATATTTATCAGTTTCCTTTAATAATTACAAGATATATCTTACGAAATTTACTTACAGTTTCCTTTGCTCAGCTTCTTTTTGTATTATTTGATGATCTCGAGAATTGTCAGATATTAAATTCTTTTTATGCAGGATTTCAAAGAATATCGCTTCTCAGTTATTTCAAATACTTCTTGCTTAGTAATATTTAATCTCTTATTTTATTTATTTATTTTTATGATTTTTATCATAATCTTGTCAATAAATTTGAAATTATTTTAACCAAGAAAAGCAATCTCTGTGATTTTTTTTTCTTTAATGCATAAAACTCCCTTCGATTCGATACAGAAAATATAATGAAATCAATACGAATGATTTTTTTGTAAGATAAAGGATTGTTTAGTTCTTCTTTTTCTCATCTAATTTTAAAGTATTCGAAGGATTAATAGCTGGTGTATTGATGGCATCAAGTTTAACAATCGGCAAATGTTCCACAATTTCATTCGTCCAAAAATAAATCCTGCATCTTGTCTTTTATGTGCGTACAGCCGTATGTAAATTGCCACAGTGTCTCTTCAGATATCGCTCCTGAGTAAATTTGGCGCCGCAGATTACGCAACCATACAAGCGTTGATTGGTATGAGTGCGTTGATGACGGGTGATGCAACCTTTGCTGCGGAAACGCTCGCCACAGATATCGCAGGCATACGGCTTTCGATCAGAGTGCCAAATCGCGTGCTTGTCCAATTCCTGTTTTCTTCTGAAACCACGGTCGCACAGAACACAATGATATGGCAGGATCTGGGAATGATAGAGTCGGTGCACATGCAGGGACGCCTTCTGCTTGAAGGATTTGCCGCAAGTCTCGCACACGTGAGGCCTCTCACTGGAGTGAGTGCGCCTGTGCTCGTCTCTCGATGCTTTCGAGGCAAGATGACGGCCGCAAATATCGCAGGCGAAATTTTTAACGCCGTCGTGGACGTCGCGCACGTGCCTGTTCAGACCAGATGCTGATCGAAAACTCTTGTTGCAAATGGAACAAATGTACGGCCGTACGCCAGCGTGAATGTTATGATGAATTAGCAGATTATACGATGTGGAAAGAATTTTTCCGCACTCCTCACACTTGTGAGAAGCACTTTCGTCACCCTTCGTCGTTTTCGAGCGAATTAATTTGACGTGTGGTTTCAATAATTGTTTTGATTGTTTTGTACATTCTTGGGAATTCGTCGTATGTTTCTCTTGAGGTTTCTGCGTTTGTTCAGAGTTGTTCGGAGAATTTGCCGAATTGTATCTTTCCAATTTCTCGTCAAAATCGCTAAGATGCGTCGATGACAGACATTTCTTGCTGGATACCGATTGAGCTTTTCCGACATTAACGTATTCTTCAGACTCTTCGTTCCTTGGCGAGTTGAGTTTCTCCGATTCGTCTTTCGACATTCGATGCATACATCTGAAAAGAGAGTCAGCCCGTTACTTGGGGGGCAGCCAAACTTCGTGGTGGCTCGTGATTGAGCTTCTTATGATTAACTAAGTAGCGCTTTTGGCGGAACGAGAGACTGCAATCGGTACAGCGCCAGGGTTTCTCATCGGAATGAATCAATCGGTGTCGCTTCAGCTCATACTTGATGCGAAAGCAACGACCGCACACATCGCACGCGTGCGGCTTCTCACCAGTGTGCTTAGTAATGTGCACCATCAATGGCGGTCGCGTGCGGAAGGTCTGACCACAGTAACTGCATTTAAATGGGAATACGTCCGAATGCGTACGATTATGCACGAACAAGGAGGCCTTCTGCTTGAACGTTTTGCCGCAGACGTTGCAGACGTATGGCCGCTCACCGGTATGAATGCGTCTGTGATCCTCGACGTTGCGCCGCGTCGAGAACATGCGGCCGCACAGATCGCATGGTACGTTCTTGATGCCAGCGTGAGTGTCTTTCAAATGTCGTGTCAGACCCTGATTCACGCGGAACCGTTTACCACATAGGTGGCAAGTAAATAGTCGTTCGCCCGTGTGGATGCGCAAGTGCCAGTAGAAGGTGTACGGTGAATTCAGATTCTTGCCACATTCACTGCAATGATAGTAAATCTTACCGTCGTGCTCTATCCGTGCGCGAAGCACTGTTTCTGTGGCCACAAAGGACTTCCGACTTCTATTTACGACCTCAGGGTGTGCCTCCGTTAGATGAATTTTTAACAGTTTCTTTTTCTGCGCGGTATGCTCGCAATAGTTGCATGGATAAGTTCTGAATTGTTTTTTCAATGGTTTTACTGATGGAAAGCAAGTCTCATCATTGTCGCTTGTGCTCTTAATATCTTCTACTAACCGGTTTTTCTTTTTTATCATACCGTAGTCGGTCTTCTTTTTCTTTTCTGTTACTTTACTATGCGTTCTTGACGAATCTCCTTTGGCTGAATCGTGATATTTGCAGTCTGTCATATGGCGGATAAGATGGTGTTTTCTTTTAAAGACACATTGGCAGTTATTGCAAGTATAACTCTTCTTCACAGATTTACTCGTTGACTGTAGAATTGTCAATTCATTTCTTTCTTGATCTCTTGAAGTATTTGAGTCCGTTTTCTCGACATATTTTTCTGCAGTGCAATTATCCGACAAATTGCGTGTTTCTCTTTTCGAAATTTCTTTAGCAATCAGCGTCATGCTTCTCATCGGATTGCTTTCATACTTTATCGTGGCATTACTTGTCCACAGTGCAGCATTACACGAGGAATGGTATGTCGTGAAAGATCTCTCCTTTGCCAGCTCGCACCTGGAAAAACAACAAAGGCGGCAGATTTGAATCGGTTTCGTCGAAGGCGCGAAAGGCCTCTACATAGAGAGAAGCAGAGAGAAGGAAAGGGCCACGATACTCTTTCGGCTTAAATTTCTAACGTTCCTTATCGTTAGGACACTCGCAGAGATTCGTTGTGCCGGCTCTTAATATGATTGTTCAGGTAGCGCTTCTGCCGAAAAGCGAGACCGCAATGAACGCAGACAAACGGCTTATTATCAGAATGAATAAGTTTGTGCCGCGCGAGTTCGGATTTGACCCGGAATTTCCTCTCACACACGTCGCACACATGATTCTTCTCGCCGGTGTGCGTGGTCACGTGGGCCAGCACTTCCTGCCGCCGACGGAATCGCTTGCTGCAGTATGAACACGTGTGCGGGAACACGTCAGTGTGTAGTTTGCTGTGAATGTACAAGGATGCTTTGGATTTAAAGGTCTTCCCGCATGAATCGCAAATATACGGTCGTTCACCGGTGTGAGTACGTCGGTGATCGTCTCGCGTCGCCTTGGACGCGAACGATCTGCCGCATAGGTCGCATACAAAATTCTTCACCTTCGCATGCACATCTTTGAGGTGCCTGGTCAGTCCTCCAGAATCACGGAACTGTTTGCCGCACACGTGACAAGTAAACGGTCGCTCATCCTTGTGGATTCTCATGTGTCGTAAATATGAGTCCTTCAGCTTGAAGCATCTACCACATTCGGCGCATTGGAATGTATTCTCTTTATGCGACGTTTTTCCAAGAATCTTGCACAGATCTTTACTATCCTTTTCATTATCAAGTATCAAATGCATCGAATTGTCGTCAGAAGAAATGTGATCTCTCTCGCTTTTCTTCACCTCGTTGTTGTCCTCGAGATCAGAATTTTTTATAGAATGGTGCATCGAAACAGGTTCTCCCTTCACTTCGACAGGCAACTGATCGTTTCGACAGACACTCTCCGGCTGTTCAGACACGGTAGATGGTTGATCGTGCGCCGTGTCCATGACGGCGATCCAGACCGAGTCGGAATCCTCGACAGTCGCGTTCGGCTTTGTCAGGTTGCGGATTCTCGGCTGGGACCGTTTCCTGTATGGCTTCCAAAATGCTTTCGGCGTGTCCGGGGACACTTTTAATGGTGTCCGGACGCCGCACGACCTGCAAAATAGCCGAAACTTGACTCCAGGTTTTGCGATTGCGCGGCACGATGCAATGGAGGATTGCGATTTCGAATCGGCTGTCACAGCCGCTCGTTTTTTTTTCTAGGTAATCGCTAAAGCCAACCACCCCGGCTGTTACGGCGCGTTACCTCTCTCTTTCTATGCTTTGCTCAAAATCTTTCGTTAAGTTGTAGCAAAAATGTTCTTGGCATATCCAACGCCGACAAATTGTTCAGTTTTTATGTTTTCTTATAAAAAGTGGCTCAGCGAAGTTTCACAGTTCGTTATGACGCGTATCACGATTGCTCGTATGTAGTCGATGTCGAACAGTCTTCATCTTTTCATAAGATACACGGAAAATGTTTAACAAGCTCTATGTGACACTTGCATACATATTATTCGCATTATATTTCTAATATTCTATCATCTATGTGCTAAAAATACGATGACCATGAGCAAACGTTCACATAATTGAGGAACAGGTAACGAGAAAGAGAATTTCGTGCTCTTTTTGTTTAGTTAACAAATTATGAAAATATATGAGATCATTACCTGTCAGATTTATTAATTTTTTCGATACTGCAACCTCCACTTTTGTCATCGTCCTGCTGACTTGGCTGTAATAAGACGTTCTAATTAAATTTCTTATGTTTCTGATTCAAAAGGATTATTTTTTAGTTTAATCACACTTACTAGTGGATCCGTAATATTAGACGTAATATCAGTCGTAATATTAGACGCAATGGTCGTGCTGGCTGTTGTAAACATAGGCGCAGTAACTTCTAAATTATCCAAAGAAGGATTGTAATACTGCAAACATAAAATTAGAATATCGTATAGTTGATAATGAAAAAACAAAAATTACAAAAAAATTGATTACAATCTTAAGAGCAAGTAACATGAGGAAAAAATGGATACAGAAAAATAGAATAAAATTAAGCATATCTATAACAGAAAAACATGTTTTCTAAAGTAAGATGTAAAATTAGTCAGGATTAGTAAATTAAAGAAGCTCCATGAACATAATGCAATGACAGAGTGTAAGTGAAGAGTTAAATTTTTCAAAAAAAAAAGAAGTATACATTTAAATTCTAAAAAGACAAGTAGCAATATAAATCCTTTACCTTGTTATTTTAAACACAAATAAGCAAAAGAAATCATATGAAGTCAAAGTGAGTCTTGTTGCCTAATAATACTTTTGTGTGTATTTTACAATTTCTGGTTCAAACAAATGTTATTATTTATTTTTGAACTCTCAGAATACAGAGAAAAATATCTGATTAAATCAACTAGAATTCTGGTTAAGTCTATTAGAATTTTAGAAAGAAGATTTAACTAGAAAATTTTGATTATCTCAACTAGAAATCCAGTTAATTCATTTTTCCTCGTGAATAGTTAACTATCTTGCTAATCAGTTTCGAAATCTTAATCAGAGATTCTTAAATCTTCTTATGCATTTTTTACCTCTTGTTTATTTTGTAGGTGCGAATCTTGCATTTCCAGTAGCTTCCTCTCCGCGTTTAGACACCCCTCATTTAATTCATGCCAAGCCATCAGAACGTTTGCGCAACGTTCACACAATTGCAATGGTAAAGTGTCGCTTTCGGTTACCTGTGAAAAACAATAAGCAAATGACCAACGAATTGTTTATCGAATTACTTGAACTGAAACTCGACGTTTATTGTACACACGTGTATCGGCAAGTACTTGAGTATTTTACTGATCAAGTCATGCTGCGCTCCCTCGCCCTCAAAGATTGATATCATACGATCGCTCGCGTTAGCGCATATCCTGCAGAGATGCATCCACGCCAATGTGACCTCCGTCTGATGCCTGTGAGACATCGTTTCCTCGATGTTTCCTTCGGGATATTGCACAGCCTGATCCTGCGATATTAGGAAGAAGTCCTCGGTTCCCTCTGCTTCATTGCGCCCTTCATGCGACACCATATTCTTTACAGTCTCCATCAGAATAATGTCCTCGCCGGGAGAATCCATTTCTGGCGGCATCGAGTTACTAGACTCCATGCTGATGAAAAAGATGACCACGTGTTCAGCACGCGATCGAACGAAAATTCGTCGAATAATTTAAGATGAAATAATTCTCTCACTGTGTACGTCACGAGCCGTAACACGCGTTTGATGAAAAACGAACCAAAGTAAACAATGTTGACGCAAGCTTGTTTCTACGCCTCCTACTTGCGCTTGGAACGTTTTCGCCAGCGTTCGCATGCGCTTGACAATTCGATCAGAGAGAAACCTGAGGGAGGACATGACGGCCCAAAATCTGTAACTGCAAAATGCTGCCGCGCACTACCGTCCTCTGAAGAAGTGGATGTTAACTACACGACAATATGCCCTCTCTCAGGTTTTTCTCTGCCGTCGATATAATTTCGTTAAGTTCTTTTTCCAACACCGCATGTATTAAAACATAATGTCGTTTTCATTTCATATATAAGTGAGCGTAATAATTATTATCATAATATATTTAATACCTAACAATAAAATAAAACTCAGTGGAGTAGCATTGCTATATTAATATTTTGATTTAAAATTTTATTATAGAACTTTAAGTAATAAGTACATTTCTATACTTGCGCGGTGTTTAAATGATTCACAATTTATAATTGCTTATTATTTTACAAGTTCAATTTTTCTTTCATATAATTTTTTTCAGTAGCCTTCATTTATTTATTCTAATTAGTTTTTAATTTTTAGAAAAAATATAATTTCTAATGCGTATTCAAAACATTCTTTTATGTTTGAAATTCTACAGTACGTAATATAAACTATGTACTGAATACATGCTAACATCGCTAAAAGCGATTGCCGAATGCGTACAAATTTCTCTATCTCCATGAAGCGCATGGCCCCAAGTTCCGAAAAAGACTGAAACTTCTTGCGCGTAGCGTTTATATACCATATTCGGAAGCTAGCGCGAGCCAATAAGCATCCGCAGCGAGGCATCGCGCTCATTGGCTGGCGTGCGAGTGGTGGGGTTCGCCGTTTGACGGCTCATATAAATATCGCGTAATTCGCGATCTCGCGCTTTTGCGACTCGAGCAGGGGACGGGGTATGTCCTGTCATTTTAACGTTGGAAAAGTTCGCAACCCTGCTTTCGAATCGATTGTGACTTTTTCTGCATATTCTAATCTTTGCTGGCAAGTAATAACAGGATCTCTTAGAATATAAAACGACGAGAAACGGCATGAAGGATCGTTCATTGTTTCATCGGATTTCTTTACTAAGGTAATCAATAATTAACTTTAACCTTTACTTCTCGTAACAGTGTAAATATCGCGTATTGCAGATTCTAGAATAGCATACTGATTATTCGATTGAAAATATATTTCTCGCATACTCGTTCGATCGAAAATCAAAACGCGCAATGTCGCGTCGTGTCATCGCGTTTCGTATCGCTTCTTACGCGTGAAGTTGACCGCACATGGAAAACGACGCCGCTTTCCCATTTCGATCGCATTCACATTTTATTCGCGAAATGCGACGGATAGGGGATGACACGGCGGAACGGACTGGCTCTCAGAGTGAAAGTGCGCGATCAAATATGGTAATTAAAACCTATATAATACCTGAATATATAACTTGAATGTATATTTTTATACACGATATTTAACTATCGACTATAGATTTAGTAATCGCATATTAATAATCCATTCGAACACGTATTTTGTAAAACTTATTCGCCGAAAATATATCACTTGAATAATTCACAATGAGATTTTCGAATATCAATCTGCAATACGGAAATAATAATCATAAAAGACAAGCGTACATTATAATATTTTCGTATATTATAATATTTTCAAATATATCAAATATATCTCGAAAATTCATATAGACGGAAAATTCATGAATGCGACGCCAAGAATGAGAAGTGCATTACGCCGTAACGTTCGCGTCGATGTTGGTACGCCAAAGTTAACCGTGCAAAAACGAAGCTGTCTCGTCATCTTAATTACAACAACGATTCATTTACACATCTCGATCTGTAAATGAAACGCAAATATAATTAAGAGACGAGATCAAATGACATCGATCAAATGATAATTGAAATTTATATTAATCTTGTATTTGTTCTTTATTGCAACACTTAGTGTTCGCGCAATTACAGATTCAATATTCACTTACAAATTATAAGAGAAGGACGCGGATTGCCACCATGTCGCTCTTGGCGTGTGAAATTGATCACGCGAGAGACGAAATCATTTCGATACAGTAATTTATTTATGTTTTATTTGCAGAATGCGGCGAATACGAGATGGTCGGCTCGAAATGAATGGCGTAGCGACTTATTGAATTGGTAAGCAAAATTTATGTTAATTTTATATTGATAATTCGTTTAAGCACGTATTTAACAATACTTGTGCAGCCGAATAGTCTTTGATGCGTAAAGTCAACTGTCCAGAAATTTTTCACTATTTTTAGATGCATTCCAATGTTCAAATTTTATTTGTAAAATATTGCAAGTATTAAACATGACAAATTTTCTTTTTTTTTTTGCTGTTGCAACATGAATTATATATCATATATCATAATATTGACAATACGAACAAGATATGACCTGGTCACATAATATTTAGGGTGCGTTCCGCTTTCACTTTCATATGTTGTAAGCATGTTCAGCCTTATCTATCAAATATTAAATAGGACAAATGATACTTACAAGTATTGTACAAAACAGAGCACATCTTTAGTAATTATTTGCAACTACATTTAATTTTAACAAATGATTTATTTCAACTAGATACTGTACACACCTACATGTCACATCTACATGTGACAAAGTAAGCAATGGGAAGAGAAGAGAGACGGGAAGCAGGCTTGACAATTCTGTGAGGAGGAGGAGGAAAAGAAGGAGGAGGCTTAGGAAAAACAATGAGTTTTGATGGACCAAGTTTGCGGTAAATAAGCTTATTACTTACTTGAATAAAAAATAAATCATTTCTTCCCATTAGATTGTTTTATTTCGATGACTAAAAATAATAATTGAAGAAAAAGAATTAATCTAAAGTATTATGGAAATTTATTTTCATGAAGACAATTTTGAGAAAATGTATAATTATTTTTTCAATTTTTAGATATATAATTGAAAAATTCAATGTGTATAAAAATTATTTTTTGAATTATTAATTATTTTCAACATTATTTTAATTTGGATCTTGTGTTTGTATGTTACAGAACTATGTAGCTATGTAGTTGATAACTCACTGTTGATAACTTCACTGCTGCGCATCAGTCGGTGAGTGACAAAGATTTTATCAGGTAACGAATTTATGAAAAATGTAGCATCCATCATTATATTAGAAATAAATATAATATTTTATAAATCCGTTACTTTAAAATGGATTGGCTATAAACAATTATGATACATATTTAATTTTGGATTTGTCTATTGTTATTTCTCAACTTGGTCTTGGTGTTATTGTGCTTGAGACTATTATGTTTATAGGAAAAAAATATTTCATATATAATTATATAAAATTATATAAAAAATTAACATATTTTATATACAATTTTATATTGTATAGTATTATATAAAGTTACACATAATTATATAAATATAATACAATTATAATTATATAAAAATATGTCTGTGTATATATATATATATATATAAACATTTCCCGGGTATTCACACAAGTATACACATAAAAAGAGAAAACGAAATAGAATCCAATGATGAGTTAGTGTTATAAATATAATATTAATAAAATTAAAGTAAGAGAGAGAGAGAGAACATGAATTAATTTTATTGAATTATTATATGATTCATATAATAATATATTAGAAATGATTAAATTTTTTAATTCAAAAAAATATCCAACAGAAATTCCTTTCATTACTGGCAATATAAATAAAAAAAACCTGTAATTAAACAAGTTACGCATTTATTTTCCTTAATCCCGTTTCCAAATATCCAAAATTAAATATGATATAAATTGGTGCAAAAAAAACATGTTATGTATATTTTCAAAAATATCTTTTGAATGCAAATAAAAAAATTGTCTTTCTTTATAAAAAAAGTACAATAATGTTATACAACGACTGACTAATCTTATTTTACATATGTATATGTATATACATATATACACATACATATAAAATGCAATGCTATATATGACTATAAATAATTAATTCTTGAACACACAGCATCAATTTTAATAGTTTCTAACTTATTCATTTGATTGATTGATAAAATAAATTTAAAAGTAAAGCAAAATAATTAACATAAAATCCCATAAGTTACGTCGCGCAACATAAGAACTTTTCCAATTATATTAACGGTTCCATTAAAATTTGTCTATAAAAAAGACACTTTCATATAATGCATATTACAACTAGATATAAATGATATAACAATGATATAAATGTAATTGATAAGGAACTTATAAGTCACAATACAGAGTTTTTTCGCGCAGTAGTTATATTTAAATGTACATATATAAACAATAAGTTATTAGGTCATTTAAAAAGTATCCGCGGTTTTTTGTTCAATTTTTGAATGAAAAAACCGCGGATACTTTTTAAATGATCTAATATAAACGTTTCAGTCAAAACTGGGCCATTTTCAGTATATTAAAACGATAACAAGTATATAATGTATATATAATTTAAAATAATGATGGAGTGTCAATATGATGAAATTATTATTAGCGCAATGAGTACAAAGATTTTCACAGATTTATTTATGAAACATCTTAAAACAAATAGAATTATCTAGATGATGCTATAAATATAATCATAATACACTGGGTCTATGATGATTTAATTTTATTGCCATTCCTTTTTCATTGTATCTTTGCAGTCATTTCTATTTCATATAAATATTGTGCAAACACAAGAGTTCTAGGAATAATTTAAGATTATTGTAAAACTAATATAAACCGCTAAATTCTGAATTACATAATTAAGAAATTTTTTAAATAAAATAACTGCGTTAGAAATAACTTCATAATTATGTCGAGTTTACACACATTTTTCAAAAATTAGATAGAAAATGGAAACTTATTTTAATAACGTGTGTAATATGTTCATGGACAAAGTGATCGGTGTCATGGTAATACAGAGAGATTTTTATATAAATGTAAATAACTGTTATACTATTATGTTAAATATTATATAGAAATACTTACAAAGCAAGTCACAACAGCGTTTGCATATAGCGTGACATGAAGATAAAAATGTAAAAAAATACCTAGGTATATTACTTATCATAAAAAATTTATTAAATTTATTACATTTAGTTTAAATTAATATGTTTTAATGCCACATTTAATATGCATTCAAGATGAAATTGAAAAATGATAACCGAAATTAAATATAAAATTATAAAAAGCAATTCTAATACATACATCGTAAAACGTCGATTCACGTAATTTTTCAAGAATTATTCTTTTCTCCTTTCCCGTCACACATTTCTTTATTCACCTTCCTTCTAAAATAGCTCCACCATCTCGGATCTCTCAATATTTTATTTCTTTTATAAATTTTCTTTAATTTTTCATGTGTCATTTAACATCTCTATTGCAGTTTCCTCATGGCACATGCAATAAAATTTATTAAATTGAATAAATTTGAATTTTATTGAATAAACGGTGCGTTTTTTCCGAAACATTTCCGGGTTTTACATAAACGTTGTATAAATACGAGATACGGTCCGAGTAGCGTGATCATTGCAATTCATGTCCAATTCTTGCCACGTTTACCGGTCTGCTGAGCTTGATTCGTAAGACTAGTGTCTAGCAAGCCGATAAGCCGAATTAACCACGATTATTGCACGAGGGATGTGGGCAATAGCGCCCCAGAAAGTGGATTGCCTCACGTCGCGTCTATCAGCCGAGCGATTTACGCACTTGTTGTGACACAACTATTGTGGTTCGCAGAGTATCGTGGTTATGAAGGCCTCGTCGGCGTTAGACGCGCGTAAAACGTGATACGAGAATTCGCAACGATCTCACTGTCGGTTCCACATCCGTTGCGTTGATCGTAGCCGTTGAATCGTCAGTTACATTGCGTGTCGTGCAATTCGAACTGTCGTTTGCACTTGTCATGAAGGATCTGCAACAAGAATATATAGTGATTCGCGAGACGTTGAAAAAATTTATCGAAAGGAAAATTGATGAAAGCGAAGTAAAGAATTTCTGCAGAATGATAATCAAAGGGAACCCTATAGGTGGAGCGTTATAAAAAAATCTCTTAGCTATGAATCGCGAAATTCAAATAGCAGACAGAGATCGTGGATAAAATGAAGATTTAGTATAATTTATATATCTTATAGATAAATGCAATTATTGAAGAAACGTGGTAATATTTTTGTAAAACATTTGTATAATATTTAAATATTATGTGGGAGAGAAATTAATTCAATATAAAATTTTGTTTTATATAAATTCGGATTTTTAAGGTTATTTTTGCTGATATCTAGTAATACATTGATGAAAGGAAAATCTGAAGAAAATATTTGTGGGGTCGGTCTCTCTCTCTCTCTCTCTCTCTCTCTCGTGACTTTTATTGAGATACGCAATTTCTAACGCTTCGTTGAAAATGAAGGATCCTTGCATTAAATTCAACTTTTCATTCATGAGATCCGAATTCCGTATATCAATAATTTCAATATTGGTTGATGATTATTAATTTTTTTAAAGTTGTTGAATTATTAATGAGGAAATTTTTTACGAAAAAAAAAATAGGAGTTATTTGAATTAGAATATTTCTATCACGAATATCTGTTATCAATATTCGTCTTGGTCATTGTTATGGATCGGAAGTGGTAATTCGTTCATTTATTGACCTTGATCGTTTCTTATTTTTTTATGCTTTGATAATTACATTTGTGAGATTTAAAAAGCGATTTGGTGATTGAATTATTCTTTCTAAATTCTGTTATCAATAGTTTTATTAACGTCTTTTGTTCATGGTTGGTTCAATTACTACAAATTTAATATGTTATGTAACTGCAGACTACACACAGTAAATAATAGTATGTTTGAATATTCGTCATCAATATAATACGTTTAATGGTATACTTGATTGTGACTTATTTCTCCTTATCTTATAACTTCAAGCTATCTGTATTCTAGAGTATATTTTAATATACTGGAAATATGAATAACACCTTGGTTCACTGGTTTCATTCAACAGTTCTTTCTTGTTCATAATTATGATTTTAACTTATTTTAATTTATGTTAAAATTTAATTTATATTAAAAGTAATCTGAATATGAAATGAGAAATAGTAAAACATATTTATATCGGTAATCTTATAATTATATTAGGTGTTGGAATTAATTCGTAGCGTTTTACAAGTGATGGGAAGTACTTTCATTAATGTATTTTTTAATGCTCATGTGAAATAAATAACATTCTTTCATTAAAAACGCTACGAATTAATTCCAACACCTAATATATGTACGTTATTCGTAGCAGCACATAATTAATTATAATATCGTATGTTTAGTTTTTTCGGATTTCATGTCATTTATTTTGTTTTGTGTATTTTACTTGATATGCTTTGGAGGTGCTTATATATAAACATGCATTATATCTTCACTGTCGTCAAATTTTCTATTACTTTTTTATTTATCGATTTTTGATCATTAGAATATTATTAATATTATAAATTTCAATTTTACGCGAAATATGTAAAGTTTTTTGTTTAAGACGGCATCAATACACATATAATACGACAAAAGTTTTTTTAAACTTAAATAAAATTTTAAGTTTAAACAACGCGTGCCGTGCAGAAATATTCGATCAAAATTCTCATGCAAATAATGAAATTTGTGAACATATCTTCAGTTTTGTACAATTTACGATTATTGTCAATATTCTTTTTAAATAATTTTTTATCAGTTTAAATTTTTCGGTACGATCTTCTCGCGTATATACTATACACGAATCAAACGTAATATTGTCTGTCGGCAATAATAATAACAGCAAGGAGATATTTTTGTCTTATCGATTTTTAATTGAAATGCGATCAATCTATGATCAGATGTGACGAAAGATAAGTCCAATCTGGCCTGAAGAAACAAGGTAAGTGATCAATTTTGATCACATGGAGTATAAGATAATGTACAAAATTATTATTTATTTATTTGTTTGATTTTCTCTATATTGTCCTCTATTTTCTCATATATACGAGACTGAAAAGATACAATTTATATTCTAATCGTGCGCGTATATTTGAAACTCTGACTCTTAGATTTATCGCTCGAGTAGATTTCAGCTATTTTGCTGGATTAACCAACAAATCGGTTCCCTTAGTAAGTCGCATATCGCGTCACGATTTTAATTCAAGATTTTTTTTTATTAAGTT